CGTTTTATATTTCAAATAATTGTAAAAAAATTTACAAAAGTCCTCATGTCTGTCTATACTTTTAAGACATTAAACGCCATGGGGGTCTCTGGTATCACTGCGAGAACCACCCCAAGGATACGTTCAAATACACAGGGGAATGCTCTGTGTGGGCTGAGCACCGTCGTGCCCTCAGGGACGTGATCGGCGACGGCGACTTCTCGCGTCCGGCCCTAGTGCGCATCTTGATGCAGAGCGAGGAGGACTGGGATGTCGTCTTCACCTTTTGCGAAGCAGTCATGCTAGCTAAGGAAGAGTAGGAAGTGCTGCTTTCTCACAACCCAGCGAAGGGCAGTCGGGTATCGCGGGATGATCTCCGGCCATCATAAGCGTGGGCCTGTAGACGGCGCGGCGGCTCGAAATGCAGGAGTAGAAACGAGGTGGTTTTAGTCAGTAAGAGTCTGACACGAGCCTCCCACATCACCGAGGCGGGTGAAGTAATTCCAATATTTGCCCTCCTTAAAAATATGGGGGTCACCGGTGACCAACGTCAGCGAAATAAATATTCCGCTGACAGAAAACTGCCTTCAACAGTTTACTATTGGCAGTCAAAGACTTAAAGGATAAAAACGTTACTTAATACAAAATCAAAACACATATAACATAATACTCGAACATAAAACTAATCAATACATAGTATAAAACAAAGTCGCTTTCGCTGTATGTCCGTATGTATGCTTAGATCTTTAAAACTACGCAACGGATTTTGATGCGGTTTTTTTTAATAGATAGAGTGATTCTTAAGGAAGGTTTGTATGTATAATACATGCATATTGCACCCGTGTGAAGCCGGGGCGGGTCGCTAGTTAGTTAATAAATAACAGTTACTCTATCGGTGCCCGTAACTTTGCGTGACTCGTCAACGTCCGAATCCGAACTAAATCATTGGCTGCTAATGTGACTGAAGCATGCCAACTGTCGAAATAACTGTTTTGTCTTCATTATTAGGACGAATCAGTCATTATTACTTAACTTAGATTTGTATAATTATGATTAAAAGGCCCTTTATGCAGGTTTTTTTAAGGGGGGAAATCATCGAATGACTTCTCCCGCCTGGGTGCCCTTCACCCCCTATTAACAATTAAAAGTGGGTGTTATACATCGTACAGTGGCATTAAGTGCCGTAATGTGCACCTCTGCCTAACCCTTCGGGAATAAAGGGCGTGATGTTATGTTATATTGTTAGTAATAATAATACTTCTGTATACATTTGTGTAGTGACATCCAATTCATTGACTGAATAGAATAATGTACGATGGCACCGCGACCGCCTCAAATAAATATAAAGACTTCCGCCCACTGCGGCGTAACACGTGCTCGTAACATTTATTTATATCCCTGTTATGTTTTTGTAATTAACATCTTTATGATTTGTTATTGTTTACAGTATCTGCTAGTATTGTATTAAACTAGTTTTTGCTTAGGACTTTGTATGTTCATGACTTATTTTGCTTCTTATTGTTGTAATTTTGCCCTATAATTGCTGTTTTAGTAGTTAGAAAAATATTTATGACAAATATTATTAGGCATAACAGTCAGTTAGGCATTTTTATTGATGATTTCTATGAACTTAAATGAATATTATTATAATCTAAACCAAGTTTCTTAATCAACAACAGATACAAAAGTGTTTTTAATTAAAAATCTAATTGATTTATCGTACTTTGTGTGTTGTGGCGTCATGTTCTTCCCATCAAATAATAAACTTATTTCTTAAAAACTTGCTAGCAATCCCCGAAAATTAAATATATTGTAAAGTCAATTAACATACGTGTGATGTATGAGATGAAATTGAATTTCCATTCGTCATGATAATTTGAACTAAATTTACATCGAAAATAAATAAGATCAATAAGAATAAACGTGTGATAATTTTCTAATATTTTACTGTATCAAACATTCGTAACAAATTGTCTGCACGGTTGGCGCGGTGGCTAGGCAACCGGCTGCCGCGCAAAGTCCAGCAGGTTCGATTCCCGCACGGACTAACTCTTTGTGTGATCCACAGATTGTTGTTCCAGGTCTGAGTGTCTTGTGTATATGAATTTGTATGTTTGTAAACGCACCTACGACACAGGAGAAAACATGAAACATGAGGCAACGTTATTTAAAAAAAACGTCTTCAGAAAGTACCGTTTTTTTATTATTTATGTATTAATCTTATACGTTATTGATTTCACACCAAGTTCAAAAAATAATTAAGTGTGGGAGAGCCATGCTTCGGCACGAATGGGCCGGCTCGGCCGGAGTGATACCACGGCCTCATAGAAAACCGACGTGAAGCAACGTTTGCGTTGTGTTTCGTCGTATGAGTGAGGTTACCGGAGGCCCAATTACCCTCCCCTTCCCCAATCTCCCCAATCCCCGAATCCTCAACGATCCTCAAACTCCTAATACCCAAAAGGCCAGTAACGCACTTGTAACGCCTTGGTGTTCCAGGTGTCCATGGGCGACACCGATTGCTTACCATCAGGTGATCCGTTTGCTTGTTTACCGGTTTATGCCATAAAAAAAAAATGTTTCAGCACCAAATGTAGTGTAGGTACTCCATAACAAATTTTACGAAACAAACAAATCTATTTATCGGGAAGTGTTACAAAAGTGCTCGTATTACGCGAACAGTTACATTGGACCGTGTTAATTGTTGTTTTCATTGTGTTACGTCATCACTCATTTATAACGTTCCAAGATTTTATTGTGGCCATAACAACATGGTCTTTATTTCATTTCCTGAAGGTACAAGCAAAGGTCTACTTTACTGCTATGTTAGGATAAGTATATGTATCAGAGACATTGTAGAACATACATTTTTTAAAAGAGTAACGAATGGAGTTTCTTGCTCGTTCTTCTCCATTCGAATCTACGTTTTGGAATGAGCACCTAGCTTCACCTAATTTCACTGACAGACTGACTGACAGACTATTATTTATTTGTATTTGTTGACATTTCAAAAGTACCAAACTATGGTTTAATTGAAATAAATGCTTTGACTTTGACTTTGACTTAATACTATGAACCCCAGTTTTAGGTGATAATGTATTAGTAAAAAATTACAGGTGATGAGCCTATTGCCATCCATTAGCCACTGTTCCAGACTCTGGTCCATTACAAAGGGTTTTCTAACATCCGAAATAAACCTTATAATGATTTGGGAATTGAACTCTATACCAGCACTTGACTAAGAATTATAATTCGTGATATATCTGAAAAATTTTTAGTGGACTTAGGTTTTTACTTTTTAAGAACATTTTTTTTCAAATCAGTTTACTAAATGCATGAAAAGCGAAAACTAGAATTTACTAAATACTACCTATTTCGTAATGTTGTACACCTTAAGTCGAACTAGAAATTATTGAGGTGGGCGACAACTGGAGCGTAACAAGCATCGTAAAGTTCAGGCCTAAGTTTAGCTTCGTCGACTAAAACTAGAATTTATCGACTATGCATTTAATCTGGGAAACACGTCAATTGAAGGCACAGATTTATTAGTATTTAGGGTTTATGGCTGCAAATTTATATGTAAAATATAGGAACAACTACTTTATTACTTGAACGATCTTGAATAATTGTTTAGTAATATCTTTCAAAATTAAATTGTACATTAAATCCACAATTTCCTTTAAAGCTCACTTTTCTAAATTATATTTACCACTATGTTATTGTTATAGGGATATAACAATAACCATTATTACATAACGGATAAATCTAAGATAATAATAGTCATAAAATGAAAGAAGTCTCTACCACTATAATCAAAATGTATCTATCAACAGTTAGCTTAAACAAAAAGCGAGCGATAAATAAAGATTAATTGCTCAACACCCACTAGATAGACTCATAAACTAAGTATCGTCAATAAAAATTACATCATAGTTACTCCATTCATAACACTAATTCACGGTCAAGACTTCAAGAGCACAATTCAAGTACACATGGAGCTACACAAAACTAGTATAAACTGACCTATGAATATACGCAAAGATCATGCAAAGAGAGATCTTGATAAACTGGGATTGTACAGCTGTAGCTGTATGCACTAGTAAAAAATGGCTCAATCAAGTGCGAACTGAACGAACATTAAAACAAAGTGGGGTCGGCGACCTAATTGTTACGCAGCAGTGGGCGGGTACCTTAATGTTTAATGTTCTTTATGAGGACAAATTAAATCAGTGCAGGATATTTGGTAGACTTTGAGTTTTATGTTTTCTGTGAACAATTTTAAAGATATTTTTTTACTGCACAGATAGAGTTAAAAAATTTTTTGTCATGTTTAATAAAATAATTTTTAATCAGAAATTATGCGCAGCGTACCTGATACCTCTTGAACTTTGATCGCAACCTACATTTAGAAGTACATTGACTTTCAGAAATGAGAGCATTTTTATACAAATAAATAAATGAATGTGATACACATTTCATCTGACTGCCTTGTTGGCCGAGTTGTCGCAAGTGCGACTGCCGGGCAAGGGATCTCGGGTTCGATTCCCGCGTACATTGTACAATGGCATAATGTGCACCTCTGCCTAATCCGTGATGTTATGTTATGTTATTTCATTTCCTGAAACTGTGCAACGATGTTATTTATCGTAATTGGAAACAAGTTTAGCATAGAGTTTCGCATATTCGTAGGAGAATAACCTAGACCAATAAAGCCAAATAAAGGAATACCCAATTGTAGAATCCTATCTATCTATAAGGATCACTACGGATGGGGCCCAACAGGGCTGATGCCGATTTGGAGTCGCGGAGAACCTAACGGGTTACCGGGGCTCCGGCTTGACGTGCAGGAGAAGGAACGAGGGGGTTTTAGTCAGTAAGAGTCTGACCCTCCCGCCTTATATAGGCGGAAGCAGTCATTTGATGATATCCCCCCTTAACAAAAAAAACCATCTCTATAGATAAAGGTTTTTGGATATTTTACTTATTTTTTTCATTTATAACAGCCTCTCTCCTTGTTTCAGCTACTACGTGGTCCAGATGCCAGAAAATGACGTACCCACCAAGGAGTTCAACATATACTGGAACGCGCCCACAATGCAGTGCAAATCCAAAGGCATTCTTTTCGACGACCTGTACGAAAAGTACGGAATTATTCAGAACACAGGCGATACATTTAGAGGGGACAGAATCTCCATACTTTATGATCCTGGGGACTTCCCTGCGTTACTAAGAAATAGTACTAGTGGCGAAATTAAATATAGAAACGGTGGAGTACCTCAGGAAGGGGATTTGATAGAACATCTGGATACGTATCAACAAGTTCTGGAGCAAAGTATACCTGATAAGGATTTTAGTGGTGAGTGTGTTTGTATCTTGAAACATGTAACAGCTAATCAACCTAATCTGTTCTGTAACTCTTTGATGCGATTTTTAACTTTATCGTTTTAATATACGGTTGAAAATCAAAATTGACAGATTGGAGTAGGTTGACCTACTGACGTCTTATTCTTATTAGCATAGCTACCTACTAATAAAGGTCGCGAGCAACCGCTGGATGCTAGTTAGATCCAACTGGTCGACTTAGAAGTCACTGGGGACAGTTTGTGTCCAGAATATGAATGACTTGTAGCCGATTTGTAAAAGGTTTCCGCAAACAATATTCGGACAGATATCGTGTAATCGAAAGATTTGGTTATTTAATGTACGTCACACAATTTTAGAATGAAATGTAAATAAAGTTCCATGAATATTAAAAAACCAAATTTAAATTTTAAAAAAGCTGATTTTTGTTTTTTTTTTATTTTAAATATGTATTCACCTTTTTTTTCCTTTCTTTAAATAATTTTCTTGCTGTGTGCCTGTTTTTGATATATTTATAATTTTAATTTTGTCTTAGCTATTACCTATTAAGTCAGTATTCGTGTGAATCTGTAAGTGGCTCAATGCTACTATTTTTCTGCTAAATCTATGTAATGTAGCTGTTGATTCACCATTCAATAAATTAAAAAAAATAAAGCCGAAATTCCGTCAGACAATAACCTATGCCCATAGTTGAGTTCAACAGCAAAAAGGCTAGATGTTATCTTGTACATACGTGGGTACCTACAAAGCCTAACTTATTCCATTGAGGTCTAACTCAAATTCGCAGAACCTATGTCCCTTTGTTTAACGACCCTGCTATAGGGGCGACCCCGACCTACTTTGAACTGGAACCGTAAATTTTGCTAATTACACACTCACGCACACACATGCGGGCATAATTTGGACTGATCTAGGAATTAATTGCTACGTTTTATGGGTCTATGCTTATTATTATATCATAAAAATATGATTGTTTTACACCAATTCATTTCATTGTTATTCGTGATACGCTTTTTTTTTAAAGGGGAAATTTCCGATGTCTTCTCCCGCCCGGGTGAGGCGAGAGGGAGTGTCAGACTCTTACTGACTAAAAACCACCCCGTTCCTACTCCTGCACTTCGAGCCGGAGCCCCGGTAATCCGTTAAGCCCTCTGCGGCTCCGTATCGGTATCAGCCATATTGGGCCCCATCTGTGGTGGTTTGACGCGACTGGTCTGGTTCTGGTCAGGCGGCGAGTCACTCGTGCTCGCCGTCCGCAGGCCTGTGCTTACGGTGGCCAAAGATCGTATGTCACTATAAATTCAAACTATAAATAAAAGAGGACTGCCGTTTTTATTTTAGCTGGCACGGATACATCCTGTGGTTCTTTTCTAATAGAAAATCAGTTACCTTTGGAAGAAATGACTGTATGGGTGGTGCGGTGGTTGGGCAACTGACTGCCGCGCAATGTGCAATGTGCGGGTTCGATTTCCGCACGTAACAATTCTGTGTGTGATCCACAGATTGTTGTTTCGAGTCTAGATGTCATGTGTATGTGAACTTGTATGTTTGTAAATGCACCCACGACACAACAGAAAATCCTAAAATGGGACAACGTTGTGTTTATAAAAAAAATAACAACCAAGATGATTGGACAAACAATTCTCACTCTACATTAGACACATCTAATATATTAATAAAAACGGAAATCCCTTATTGCTAAAACACACCCATTTTTGGCAGACTGATCTAAAGACATTTTCTTATAGTTTTTTGGATTTTAAATAGCTTGAACTAATTAATTGACTACTGTTTCTCAGGTGTTGGAATTATAGACTTTGAGTCATGGCGGCCGGTGTTCCGGCAGAACTTCGGGGACCTGACTCCGTACAAGGACATGTCCTATGAGATAGAGAAGCAGAGACACTGGTGGTGGAAGAAGGAGTGGATACAGGAGGAGGTAATTATTTAAAAGAATAGGTAATTAAGTAAAAATTTCAGGACTATTAATTTTTTTTATGGTTAAGCCGGTAAACTATCAGGCGGAAAATATCGATGGTAAGCAATCGGCGCGCTCTATGGACACCCGAAACACCAGAGGCGTTACAAGTGCGTCACCGGCCTTTTGGGAATTGGAAATTTGAGAATTGTTGGGGATTCGGGGATTGAGAAGACTGGGGAAGGGTGGTAAATTCACTCATGCAACGAAACACAGCACAACCGTTGCTTCACGTCAGTTTTCTGTGAAGCCGTGGTATCACTCCGGTGGAGCCGGCCCATTCATAAATTAAATATGTGCCCCGTGTGTCATTGCTGAAAGAATGTCATGTATTGTTTAACTTATTTAAGAGGTAGAAAAATATTCTTGAAGAATTGCAAGAAATCTACTCCTCTCTTCAGAATCGATGCATGACTGTAATATTGGTGCACTGGTAACGCTCCAGTGTAGCATGGTTTGATCTCACGTAACAATTCTTTGTGTGACCCACAAATTGTTTATTGAAATTATGTTTACAAATCCAACCACAACACAAGGTACAATCTGAGTATGACGCAACGTCATCTTAATCACACGAATATTATAAATGTAGTTGGATGTTTCCAAATACATCCAAATCCGTCAAATACGCTGAAACTACTGAACGGACTTTCATGAAATTGATACACAGGTAGACTATGGGCTGACTTAGGTGATAGTATACTTTTTATCCCGATTAAATCCTCCCATGAGATAGCTAATAGAAAATAAAAATATCTCTAATCGAATTCTTAACCTAAGATGATCTCGAATGTAATATAAAATGGCAAAAAGCTCTACTTTTCACCAATCAGTAACCGACTAATTGGCGATACCATTTATTGAACACTTCTGAGACCTTCTTAGAACCACATATCATCAATACATAGTATAAAACAAAGTCGCTTTCGCTGTATGTCCGTATGTATGCTTAGATCTTTAAAACTACGCAACGGATTTTGATGCGGTTTTTTTTAATAGATAGAGTGATTCTTAAGGAAGGTTTGTATGTATAATACATGCATATTGCACCCGTGCTAAGCCGGGGCGGGTCGCTAGTAATACATAATTGTACCAACAATAGTACTGACACATCGTTCCCATTCAATACAATCATCGCAGGCCAGTGATTGCATCGCATTATCTGACGAGTAATTAGGGCGCGCTAACTAAAGGGCCTCGATACAGCTTCACACAAATTTCTACCTCAGTTCGTGGCTTTAAAGTTTATAATGTATTGGTGTTTTAGGGTAGCTTGATCTGCTTGTGTTTGTAGATCACTAATAGACGCGAGATTTAGTGTAATTGGTTTATGAATGTCTTCTATTTTGATAAGCTAAAGTGGTTTGTATGTGTGATTGCGTAAGGTTTTAAATTGTAATTTATTAGTTCTTACGAACTATTTGAACTTAGCTGAATATTTGTATATGGAATGTTAATTTCCTCATACATTAATAGATGTCAAAGTTATTTCGCAATCAGAAATTTTAACACGCGAACCGCCATGTGGGTAACCGGTGACCAATGTTAGCAGAGTATTTACCTTCAACAGTTTTGTATTAGCAGTCCAAAGCCTTAAAAATACGTTTTGTATTCTATTGAGGACTTTGCGGTTTGAAAATGCATACACAACACCATTATCAATATGAATGCATTACAATAATAAGCCAATTCTCCAATATTCAATACATACATAAATCCCACATATTTCTATATATTAATTGCTAATAGCTGCCTCGTTGGCCGAGTGGTCCCAAGTGCGACTACCGGGCAAAGGGTCTCGGCTTCGATTCCCGGGTCGGGCAAAGTATTACAAGGTTTTTAAAAAAGATTTGCTAAATTAGAGATGGAATTCGAACACGTTTTGTATAGAGTATTTTATTAAGCAAATCCGCAAATACATATGATATTACGCAGGTTATTGGAACCAGCCGTAAATCACACGTCAAACTCCTGATCCTCTAAATCTTCTTAGACATTATATTGATCAGAAACAGAACTCATTTGCACCTAACTATTACATATACGCATACAAACAAACATTCAGAGATTGTAATTTATCAATCAAACGTCTCGTGTCGGCATGCACTCGTCAAACTAATGCTTCAGTTATTTAGATCAGTTAGTGTTGTACTATGGTTATCAATCTATCAATCTAACGGCTGATTTATCAATCAAATGTTAGAATGATATTGTTAAACTAATGCGGTATTTAGGACGGTTGTGAGTGTTGACGATAGTTGGTTATTTTCCTATTTAGATGGTGTTATGTCCTTTCTATGTTACATTTTTATCAATGTAGAAACATATGTTCTGTGTTTTAACAACCTTTAGAAATGGCACTTGGTTTGGAATGATAAATGGTATCATCTCTATAAACACTTCGTCTTTCCATATGTGTTCGGAATAAATAAAAACAGATACTTTTGGATTATTCAAATCGTAGATTTAAAACCAATTAAACTTTACTAAATCAAAAGAATGCTTTACAAGAAGAGGAATAGCTTTGACTGCTAATATAAATTGTTAAAAGCAATAGGGGTAGATGCCTCATTTTTATTTTAATGTCCGTCTGGTAGATTATTTTAAATTTAAATATTAGACACGTATCATTAGACACATATTTTTTACTTTTTTATAAAACGAATACTTTCGACGGTAAATTGATTTAAAATATCGCGTGACGTCACTTCTATGCACATTTTGTACGTAGAAATGACGTTTTAGATGCCACTCCTAAACTTTGATTCGTTTTATCTAAGTATTGTTTTATTATACGACAAAATAAAAAAATACGTGTCTAATATTTTTTCATTACCTACGGATTAATTATATTTTAAATTTGTATACCATGTCATCATCCCAATTCCTCCGCTAACGTTAGTCACCGATGACCCACCATGGTGTTCAACGTGTTCAAGTACATTAGAGTTAGATATCCAACTAATTCGATAATGAAAAACCTAGAAGTATAACTCTGTACTTTCACGCTTATCTATCAACAAAAAACTTACGTAATATATCACCCAATTAATAATTGAATTTTTCAAACCCTTTACTAGGTCAATCGTTATAACAGTGATGTACCATGTTCCCAACACTATTGCTCCCGTTGCACAACTCACGATCAGATCCCGAAGTATTTGTTGTCTAATAATAACGATTGTACTAACAGTTATAATATATTACAGCTGTGTATACGGTACAAATATTTATTTCAATGGTATGATGATAATGCAAGTTAGATTTATATTGTAGTGTCGTAAAAAAAACAACCAGCCGAACATAGTAACCTCCTCCTTTTTTTGAAGTCGGTAACAAGAGTATTATTTTCAATTCATAACTATTTTGAAATGACTAACTTTGCTTTGCTACCATTATGATATAACACATTATATTACATCACGCCTTTTACACCTAAAGGAGTGGAGAGAGGGGCACATTATGGCATTTCGTGTCACTGTGCAATACAAAACCCACTTTTCACTATTCATGTTATAATATAAGTCTCATGTCATAGGGGGTACACAATTCCAGACTCCGTGCGACTACTGAGATCTTTTTTAAAAACTTCAGTAGTATAGTGCCCGACCCGTGAATCGAACCCGAGACCCGACCTGCGTCGCATTTGCGACTACTCGGCCAACGAGGCAATTACGAAATATCAAAAAATAAAAGAAGTTTTTGTGAAAATTTGGCAACCATCTCAAAATAAAAAAAAAAAACATATTTTGCTGTATAAACAAAAACAATAATTCGAATATGGAAAACGAAAATAATGGCGAAGGTCTCTGGCTTTTCAGTCACCAAGAGAAGTAGGCCATGTCTTTATGAGGAATCTATAATTTGTAACATAATAATTTTATTATTATCCGCAGGTTGTCCTTGTCAAAGTCAAAAAGTCAAAATCATTTATTTCAATTAGACCAGAAAGGCACTTTTGAACGTTAACAAAAAAAAAAATTAAAGTGAAGTTATTTGCTCATTCCAAGGTGTAGATTCCTTTGGAGAAGAACGAGCAAGAAACTCCATAGGTTCTTGAGGACTAAAGTCTAATAAAAGTCTCACATCGTTTGCGTATTGTATTGCTATTTAGTACAGTCGTAGAAACCATAATAACCATTCATAAAAATCATAAACCTTTAGCCCTTCATATAAAAAAACACTAGTTTAATCTCATAATACAACATTATACGATTCGCGACATAAAACTTGCGAAATTAAATTTTAAATCTTAAATCCTTCTAATTATATCTCATGCGTAGATAACAATATACTCGTTAGTTTAGGAGCTAGATTAATTGTTTAAGTGGTCATATAACTATGATAACGAAAGCTACAAGGCTTCTAGCTCTTGTATTTATAATCTTATTATAAGTAAGTTTATACTGAGTAAATAGGTATAAGATTTCTTCAGTCCGTTAAAATGTATTTTTTTTATAATTAGCATGTTTGTAGTACTTCTATTTTTTAAGGGATAAGCCAGTGTAAACTAGCAGACGGATCACCTGATGGTAAGCAGTCGGCGTCGCCCATAGGCACCTGAAACACCAGAGGCGTTACAAGTACGTTACCGGCCTATTAGCAATTGAGAATTTGAGGATTGTTGGGGATTCGGGGATTGCGGAGACTGGGGAGGAGGTAATTGGGCTTCCGGTAACCTCACTCATACGATGAAACACAACGCAAGCGTTGCTTCACGTCGGTTTTCTGCTCGGCCGTGGTATCACTTCGGTCGAGCCGGCCCATTCGTGCCGAAGCATGGCTCTCCCACATTTGTTGATTGACAGATTGATTCAGTACAGACACAGTCTAGCGACTGGACCGACCCCCAATTAAGGACGACGATCGACCGACTCAATTAAGTCAACCTGTATTTTCTTATCTGAATCGAAAATAGCTGAGCTAACTGTACATAATGTTGGCTATTATTTAATTTTATATCTTCTTCTCGCCTTTAAATTACTAAGACGCCGTGACATCATGCATTTCTCTTTTTTATTCCGAAACTACCAAGTGGAATAGTGATTCACATCTCCTCCCCCGTAAGTGATATCGTGAAAATATGTAGCCCATATGTTGAACTGACCTGTTAGTAATATTCAGGCACTTTTTAAATTCACCCCGAACATTACATATAGACAGACAAAAATTCTAAAAACCATATTTTTGGCTTCGGTATCGATTGTCGATCACGCCTCAAGCATTCTCTTTTAAAAATATTCGATGTATAGTTTTCAATTTCCTACGATTTTATTATATGTAAATATAGATAATTTTAATAATTCCTGCAAAATGATTATGCCCTTGTGTCTCTGTTATAAATGTCCATGAGTTATAATACCTTACCATCAGGTAAATTGTCTGGTCATTCGGCTTCTATTCCGTATATACCCAGGACACACGCGATGCAAAGGAAAATCCTAAGACTGCAGGAGAAAATTGAGAAGTCTAACAAATTTTTATATAACTGTTTCAGGCTAAGCGTCGTTTCGAGGCAGCTGGTCGAGAGTTCATGCAGGCAACGCTGGCGCTGTCGAAGAAGATGCGGCCCCGAGCTATATGGGGGTACTATGGGTTCCCGTATTGTTTCAACATGGCGTCCAACAATATGAAGGAGACCTGTGCCGATAAAGTGCCTCAGGAGAATGATAGGTCAGTGTTCATTTTGATCTCCACTTAAATAGCATAATTATGTATAACGGCTTACTTACGTAACTGTTTGATGATTCGACTAGGATCACGCCAGGAACTCATAATGCAGCACAATTATGTCCGTAATCCAATAAACATAATTAATTTAATGTCTTACTAGAAATATACAAATGTAATCATAGTTTATTTTTGTTTTAAATTGTTAATGAGTAAATGATAATTAAATTCTTAAAACATGTACCAAAAATTCCAGGATAAGTTGGCTCTGGCAGGAGAGTACAGCGCTGTACCCCTCGGTGTACAGCTCAGCGAGTCTGACCACACGACAGCTGGCTGCCCTCATCCGTGGCAGAGTGAAGGAAGCTGCCAGGATGGTCCGGGGAGGGGCGCCCATACTGCCTTACTTCTGGTACCGGTATAGGGACAGTGGGTTCTTGAATAAGGTACGTTGGATATTGAGTTCTATTATAAAGAAAGGTATTAAGTTTAAATTGGATTGCACGGATGTCAAAACATCACGCCTTTTATTACCGAAGGGGTAGGCAGGGGTGCACATTACGGCGCTTAATGCCACTGTCCAATGTAATACCCACTTTTCACTATTTATGTTATGAGTCCCATGTAATAGGGGTGAGCCAATTGCCATATACCGGGCACAATTCTAGACTCCGTGCTACTACTGAGAATTAAAAACCCAGCAATACTTTGCCTGAACCGGGAATCGAACCCGAGACCCCTTGCTCGGCAGTCGCACTTGCGACCACTCGTCGACCGAGGCAGTCGACAGAGTTTAATCTCCAGTCTTTAGTAGGCCTTACCATCCTACCATCGCCACTTTCATATGGTATGGATTGACACCCAGTAGAAACATCTAATTACTTACTTGTATGATCTACAGTCGTCATAATATTATTAACATTAATTCACATACAAGCCATTCGAACGCGAATAAAACAGTCTATCGCAGATTCAACTCCCACACGTAATTGACATTTAAATAGTCAGTTACAAAGCTATGATAACTAGCATAACACAACTATTTGATAAAGAATAATAATAAACTACATAGCAACAATGTTTTTCTGTTACAGACCGACTTGTATGTAGCCTTGAACACGTTTTATAAATCAAACGCATCAGGGTTCATCATATGGGGCAGTTCCAATGACGTGAACACAGTAGACAAATGTAATCAACTTAGAGCATACGTAACTAATATATTAGGACCTGCAATAGCTAAATATACTAAACAAAACATGAGACAAGGAGACGATCCAGAAGTAATACTAGGAGCTAATTCTAATCCAAATAATTCTACTACATTTGATCCAGAATTCAACTGGATCCCACCAGAAAATTATACACAAACTATAGAAGAAATTGTAGATAAAGAACTTAAAGAGGAGAAGGAGATAGGACATAAGAATGTTACAGAAAGTATTCTAGTTGATATGATATTGAATAATATAGCTGATAGCTGTGGCGATGGCTGTGATAGTGCAAGTAAAGATATACCGACTGATGTTAAAGAAGAAGATACAGATGTAATAGAGATGAAAGGAGATGAAGATAGTGCAACAAATGAGTCTCAAGTTGTAGTAGTTACTGAAGATCCTTTTAAGAAGAATTCCAGTGTGATTACAGGGACTGGTAAGTTTGTTTAAAATTATAATCATTATTCTAAAAGACCAATATGCGTAAAATGTAAATTAATTATTATTGGCAGTCGTATGCATAACAATGGTAGGCATTCAAACTTTTGATAAAAAATATCATCCCTAAATGTTGCCGATTGTACTTATTAAGACAATGTAATTGATCTATTAATCTTCTAAATTCCAGCCTCAACTACAACAGAAGAGTACTCTTACGACTACGATGTAACTGGTCCAGAAGATATAAATGTTGAAGATGTAGTTGAAAATGTTGAATATAGTGATATTAGTACAACTAGCAAAGATATAGTAACTGTTAGTACAACTGCTAAGAGTATTGAAGTATATATTACAACTAGTGCTAACTCGGAGGCAAGTACTTATAGTGTAAGTAGAGAAGATACGACAGAAAGAAAAGAAGAAACTAGTACACAAAAAGCAAGTACTACTGACACAGAAGACTTCACTTTGAGAAGTGAACAAAATAATGCCATAGAGTTAAATATAGAAGAAAACAGTATAGAAAGTAGTACTGTTTATCCAACTAATGCCAGTACCACAGAATTTAGTATTAGTACTTATAGTACAACTAGTCCTAATGAAGAAGAGGCTACAATCGAAAATGAACTTAATTCGACTGAGAATAAGACAGATGATACTGTGAGTGATAGCAGCACAACGTTGGCACCAGTGTCGACAGAACAGGTTGTTGTTTCAGTTGTTTAAGGTTTGTTGTTAACTGTTGTCCTAATTTTATGTTTGGAACAAATTATCTACTATGAATGCTAAGATCTATAATGCTAGCGCCAGACATGTGCTCACATTGTGTATCCTGAACGAAATATCATTAAATGCTCGTGGCACACAATGTGAACAAACAACCGTGCACATGTCTGGCACCGGCATAAAACAATGATTACGATAGTTTTCTATCAGTTGATTTGCTTTAACCTTTAAAAGGCGTTTATATCAGTTTTCTTATGAGGTCTATAAGTAATAAAGCCGAGTTATTTGTCAAACAACAGACGCTAATCTAGACTCTGTGTTATTGCTGAGAGTTTAGTGTTAAAGTCTGATAATAGCTAATTTTGTAGTAAATTTTTAGTCTTGTAGTTTAGACCAATTCTCATGAATTTGATTGCAAGTAGACTCTTTGCAGTTCTTAATTTTACTGTTATATTTATAAATCCTGAATAGTTGTAGTTTGTGTTTTGTCTCATTCTTTCAAATGATCATCAGCGCTTGTAAGCAAGAAACAAAACATGTCCATAGCTGCAGTAGGTTTGTATTTCGTAGTAGATAATATTGTTCGTACTAATTCAAACTTTACAATTTTAATTGCATTTGCATCCAAAGCTGTACTTATTCTTTTAATTTATATAATTCTTTAATATTACCTTTATGAAGTTTACCCACACAACTGTTTAACGAGGTAACTTGATTACTTTCGAATGCTCATATCTATGGGTCCCTACCATGGGTTGAAATTAGTTGAGTTGCCTCAACTTTGACGATTTATTTGACTAGAGTGAACAGTTACTTGAGTAAACGATACAAGTATACTTTTTATTTTTTAATATTGTTAACTTTTCACTAATTTATTTATTGACACGCCCTGTACTTCTGATTAACACTTCTATTGCACAATTTAATACTTCGTCTACTAAGGAATGTGACTGTCATAATCTTTATTCTTTGTCTAATTTTTAATAATTTCTTTGTTTAATGCATTTTGTGTTTTGTTAAGCTGATATTAAAGATTGAAATGCTTTGGAAATCAAAAGCTCTTATTTAGGACATAGAAAGGTCGCATCAAAATCAATTTAGAGCTTGTGAGACTCAAGTAGGCCAAAACTGAATCAAATAATATACAAGAACCGACTCCCATTTTTCCTACAATACAACATTATAACTTTACAATACAATTAAGAGATTATTTTTTATATCTCGATGGTGGTAAAAGTTACACTTGATGGTAAGCGGTTACCGTGGCCTATGAACGCTAGCAAAACATGAAGCATTACATGCACCTTGCCGACCCTTAAAAAACCTATTTACTTCCAATAAATGTAACGGTGAATTTTCTTCCAAATGTTCCAAAGCTCTATTCTGAAGCGTTTCAAACTTGTTCGCCAGCTTCTATTTTAACATCTTATTCTAATCGCATTTTAATTTTTATTGTTTTAACTATAATTTACGTCCATGTTTGCTTTTTTTTAGTTTTTAAGTTTATTTGTATATTATGCAACTCCTTTTGCTATAACGTTGGAAATATTCAAAATCTTTTACGCTGAAATACTCTAATGCTACTCAATATTAGGTAAATCGCGCTTAAGTATTATAGTTCTGTCTGTAACTTTTCAGTACTTGGGCGCATCGACATGTACTATGGACAGGACAAGACTTATAGATGAGCATTGTGGCACTCGGAAAGATAGAGAGGAAACGATGTTTCGGTCTATCTTTATCTCTCTCAAAATATTACCATAGTTAAGCCGTTATGAGCGAGAAAGAGATAGCGCTAGACTGAAAGCATAGGCCATCTCTCTCACTCTTTTCAAATCAAAAAATTACTGCAGATTATACGCGTACGGCATGTCCATTAGTATATGTCGATTAATTTTGATATCCAAAATGAAATACATGAGTGTGGGAGCTATACCGAACCCTTTTTCCAAATATTCTTTTGCGCCTTTATGGCCTTAACATAGAATTCAAAACTGATTTCTGACGTTATATTCAAAATGGAGTGTTTCATGTTTCGGTTATGCTCGACTTCTTCTGATACGTTGAGAGTTATCTTTTCCTCCTCGGCAGATAGAGTATAAGCAGAGTGAAGTTTGTTTGTTGCCCAATCACTGTAACTGTCAAAAATTTACTGTCCAACTGGTTTAAGACAATCTAATTCATAAGTGGACAAATACCTTACATTTTTTACAAAAGCGCCATCTGACGAGAAAAAAAAAGAAGTAGCTCTCATTATAGTGACATCTATCGTAATATAAAGACATTCAATGACTTTTTATTTATTAGAAAGTTCAGTAAGACGCCGAAACATGGAATTTTTTCGAATTATCTGTTTGTACTTATACATTCCTACTTATTTCTTTGTTGGTTTAAATTCAATGAGTTATCTTCTCTGTTGTTCTTTGTGTGATCAAGAGACTGTTTCCATGTCCAAGTCTTATGCTATCGTTGTCTTCTTATAATGGGAAGTTTAGAAAGAGATGAAACAATATCCATTTTATTCATTCAAATTCCATTTAAGAATAGAAACTAGCACTAAATGTTTATGATCGTCCTTAGACTAGTGATGGAATTATTTTATCTCGTTGATTTATTGCAGTATCAATTTAGAAAACAATTTTGTTGTAGTTTATTTGTCAAAATTATCAATTGTTCGATTCCCGCACGGGACAACACTTTGTGTGATCCACAGATTGTTGTTTCGGGTCTGGGTGTAATGTGTATGTGAACTTGTATGTTTGTAAACGCACCCACGACACAGGAGATAATCCTAGTGTGGGGCAACCTTTTTTTAAAAGAAACAAAAATGAAAGTTTATTAAAAAAATTTATCTCTGTCTTTAAACAGTCCATTAGAAGAAACTTTGATAGTTTACTTGAGCCATAATCTCGAATAAAATACACATGAAGATAGCTCATTGTACGGTGGTGTCTGTTTGTGTTAATAAATATCTGTCTATAGGTGTTGGGGTCTGTATCCAGAGGTATCGTCGTAAAGCCGATCGTGTGCACTCTATTCTTTATCTACTCTGTGACCAAATGTCTCTGTTTTATATTTGAAACGTGCTAAGGTAGTGGCTAACGAATGCAATTTTAAACCTTGAGTTTTTACCACGAAAGTACATTTTACTTTCATGTTGAGTTTGGATTTAGGATCTATTTTAAATATTTGTTTAAAAGAAATCTGTTTCTATTGTTGTATAGAGATATGTTCTTTATAATGATGGACAGAAGGTTGATATTACGTTACATATTTTTATATGAATCTCCTTAATCGAATATTTTTCTACGTCTTTAGGTATAAAATAGAAATAGAAATCAAACCATCACGTATTATTAAATATTATTATAGTTTTTTTTAGCGGAAATAATTTCGAACTTGTACTTATTTTATACATGCCAAAATAACAATCAATATTGAACTCTGTTGCAAAATCAAATGGTTGAAAATTAAACATAAACACGAGTCGATATCAAACTGAAATATTTGAGATTTATTAGCACATAATAACCTATTCATGTATGTATTTGTATATAAAACTAAATGTCTCACAACGGGTATAAATAAATAAAAAACAAATTGCGTCGTGTTTTGGTTTAAAAAATAGATGACAACGATGTTTTCATAATAACTATAGTGAGACATACTAAATTAACTAAAATCGCGAGTTACTCACGTGAATCACCACCGTTTTCCGCGCACGCTGCTCATGAGGAAGAACCCCTCTGTGGTTCAAAACTAGTAGAGCTTTTCTCAGTGTATTCACGTGAGTAACCCGCGATCTTAGTTAAGATGACAACGAGTTAAAAGCTTGGAAGCAGATAGAGAAGATAAGGGAAAATGAAGTCGGTAATGATAGAAAGGGAAAATTATTTTTATAGACAGTTTTTTACTGAATCTTTAGCCACTGCCCTAGCAAGTCTTTCAATAAAACGTATATGACGTTTTTTTGATTATAGTATTTGTAACTACTACTATCAGAAGATTACAATTCTAAACTAAAGCTAAGTCTAGATTACGACACAAACTGCTACACAAGTGCTTCACATTATTTTGTGTCCACTACGTATACCTACCTACCTTTCAGTAGACCAACATTTGAAAAAACGTGCCTTCAAAAATATTCCTTTAAACAAAGCAATGATGAATATTGTTCTATGAGGCCTGGATTAATACGAAGGTAATAATTAACTTCAATATCATAAGGGTCAATACACTTAACGAATCTGGCTCCGTTACGGCTCCGGCTCGGTTTCGGCACGGCTCCGGCACAGCGTGTTTGCTTCGGAATAAGATTGTAAGCGCGCTGTCGTTGCGCGGACGGCTCGCGGACGGCGCGCTTACATCTTTTTTATATTAACGATATGAAATATATCATACAACATTCGATTTAAAGTTCATATTTAAATAACAAGTTAATTGCTAGATTGGAACCGTCCTGGTTAACTGTGCGATGACCTTAAAACAATAATCATTGTCCGTTGTTCTTAAAGATATTTTTTATAATGATGTAGATTACTGTATCTTTATATGTGTTGGGTCAACGTTTGGCCACTATCTCGTGGTACAGTACTCGGTGGTAAGCCATGATGCGGCTATTTATGATCCAAAGATACTGCAACTCTTTTAATCTCTTTTTTTTAAAAATGTTGCGCCGCCCTTGCATTCTGGTTTATAGGTGAGTTAACAAACACACATCAGACCCAGACCAGACACAACAATTAGTGGATCACACAAAGTGCTCTGCTTCCTCCGTGCGGGAATAGACCCGCGACACGTTGCACGGCAGCCGGTTGGTTGCCCAACCACCGCGCCAACCGTGCAGTCAGAACTGACAAGTCTATTGTGCCGTAATCTAAGCTTAACTTTTTTATTCCAATAATATAATATGTCGTTGGCATTCATATAGTGTATGTATGATCTATTCCTGAACAAAGAAGTGACAATCGGTAAGTTTACTCGATAAGGATTACAACTTAGGATATAATTGTGACTAATCATTTTATCTGTGATATGTTTTTAGTGTAATTTTGTTAGATATTTTTGTGAATATTATTGCCAATTTAATTGTCTTAAAGATAAGAATAAAGATATTATATTTTCAATGTATTTTTTGTTTGTTTTATTTATGTCTCGTCAAACTATAAAATAGTACTTCATAGGGATCCACTAATAGTATAAATCGGAATGTGAGTTTGTTTGTTTGTTCCGCTTTCACGCCGTAACTACTAAACCGATTGCTTTGAATTTTTGCAGACGTAAAGTTAGAAGTCCAGATTTAATTATAAGGTACTTTTTATCCCTGATAAATTTGATATTCCTGAGGGAAAACCAAAGTATTGGTATAGATGACGATCTTTTGTGACGCGAGCGAAGCCGCGGGTAAAAACTAGTTTCATATAATTGGTCATGGGAGAATGGACTAAAATATTGCGTATCATCAAGCACAACTTTTATAATAACTATCATAGCAAACTTAATGTATTTTAAATGTACCTCTGCCAGCTTGTATGCTTTTCCGCGAGACATGTCGTGTGTACGTAGAGAGAAAAGTCTTTAATTCTATGTCTTCCAAAGAAATACAATCCACTTTAATCCACATACTTTATTGAAACACAGAAACAAACAATAGATGTAACGAAACACAGAAAATAATAAATTATTTGTAAATGTAACACTTCTCTAACATAACATAACATTACGGAACACACATCTTACACATAAACATATAATTTTACTGAAATAGTACGTGAACTACAACCCAGTATCATTTGTTCTACCTTGACTGTGAATGACGATCGACCAAATTAGTTTTATAGATAGATATTTCCTTTATGAAGTTCTACAATAGACATTAGCACGTTTACTTATTAATACTTCATGTTACAAGTTTGTTTCATTGTTAAAATGGATTTAACCATCAGTTGTTAATTTAGAACTTCATTTGCCTAATTGACCGAAGACTCTTCTATAAAGGATTATACTCGAAAATGATCATTATTTTTTGAAGCCAACATTAAGTTGTCTTTATAATAACTATCGTGGGAAAATTAACCAAAAATCGCGGGGTTACTTACGTGAAAATGATGAGGAAAGCTCTACTAGTTTCGAGCCACAGAGGGGCTCTTAATGTCACGCAGCCTATTGTCAACTAATAGTGCTTTTCTTTTTTTTTATGGCATAAGCCGGTAAACGAGCAGACGGATCACCTGATGGTAAGCAATCGGCGTCGCCCATGGACACCTGTACCATCAGAGGCGTTACAAGTGCGTCACCAGCTTTTTGGGGATTAGGAGTTTGAGGATCGTTGGGGATTCAGAGATTGGGGAGATTGGGGAAGGGGAAGGTAATTGGGCCTCCGGTAACCTCACTCACACGACGAAACACAACGCAAGCGTTGCTTTACGTCGGTTTTCTGTGAGGCCATGGTATCACTCCGGTCGAGCCGACCCATTCGTGCCAAAGTATGGCTCTCCCACACTTACACTTTTCTCAGTATATTCACGTAAGTAACCCGCGATTGTTAGTTCATTAAGTTATCTATTTATCATTCACCCTTCATAATTATGAAACAAAACATTAATAATACTAAATCATGCACGTATAATAGCAAAACAATAATTCTTAAACAGCAAAGGCATCTCATCATCAGAAATAAAATTCCTATCAGGTCTAACGCTAGCAAAATTATTGTACTTCGGTTCTGTGACAAAGTTGTACCCAGTCTCCGAACATTCCTTGATCCTGATGCAGTCTTTATGGAGCTCCGTGATAGTGTACCCTGTGATGATGAAGGGGATCTTCAGCTTTAAGATGGCGTCTATAGTTGTGGGCCAAGGGTCCTTGCCGTTGTAGATTGATGATCTTTGGATGCTCGGGTTAAAGGCGCATACTGCAAATAAATTGGCATGTTAAATTATGGTAGTTCAATAGAAAGATAAATAGAGTTAAATACGTTAACTTATCGAATCACTGGTTCCATTTTAATCAATGACTAACTGTGCCCGCGACGTCGTAAACGACTAGATTAAGAGTTTTAGGACATAACTTTTTTGTTTCCATTTTCCAATTTTAAAATAGCCTACCTTACTCCTTAATACATCAGCTACCTGCCCGTCAAAATATGTCCAGCCATTTCAGAGATTCAGCAGTACAGACAGACAGACAAAATATAAGAAAAAGTTATTTTGATATGGGCATCGTATATAATATTCATAATATGTATGTAGTAAAAAGCAGTTATTTCAATATTACAATCAGACACTCCAATTTTATTTATCTGTAGGTATAGGTGGAAATTTGTAAATGGACCTTGTAAAAGGTAACAGATGACGTATTTTGCATGAATTCTAAGATACTGAGTAACATGTTCGTGGTGACATATCTTCTGTCAAACATGAGGCTCACCAATGTCAGGTGGAACGAAGTCCTCGCTGGACTTGTAGTCAGCATACGTCCTCTTGTCTTGGAAGTTAAACAATACGCGTCGGTTGTTCTGTCTGCAGTTGTCACATAACCTGGGTGGAGAAGAAAATTGAATGCATAGTTGTTAGACAGAAAGTCTAATTTAGTTTGTGAACCTATGGTCAGAACTATAAGGTGATGTAGGGGCAAAATAATCCCAAAATGCTTGCTATAAATTAAAAATGTTTTTTTATGGGTTGAGCCGGTAAACGAGCAGACGGATCAACTGATGGTAAGCAATTGGCGCCGCCCATAGTCACCTAGAATACCAGAGGCATTACAAGTGCGTTACCGGCCTTTTGAGATTAGGAATTTGATGATTGTTGGGGATTCAGGGATTGGGGGAGGGTAATTGGGCCTCCTGTAACCTCACTCACACGACGAAACATAACGCAAGCGTTGCTTCACGTCGGTCTTCTGGGAGACCGTGGTATCACTCCGGTTGAGCCGGCCCATTCGTGCCGAAGCATGGCTCTCTCACACTTAAACTTACTTACTTACACACTTAATTAGGTAAATATCCCAATATCAAATAACATAACCAACTCACTTGATCTTCCCAAGCAACTCCAGTGGTAGGTTCGAAGGGTTCAAGTTATAATTGACGAGGACGACCCTCAACTCCTGCAGTTCAGGTCTGAGGTGTAGGAAGAACACCTCCCACTTGTTTAGGGCATCAGCCTCAAACTGGAGCTCTGCTCCAACCACGTGGATTGTGAAGGAAGATTTCTAGAATAGAAGAAGTTAATCAATAAATTTAATATATCACTGTGTCTTGTACATAAAACAAAGCAAAAGAGAAGTAATAAAATAATATGGTGTGATACGGTTAAATAACATAATATAACATCACGCCTTTTATCCTCGAAGGGGTAGGCAGGCACTTAATACCACTGTACAATGTAACACCCACTTTTCACTAGATATTTATGTTATGAGTCCCATGTAATAGGGGGTGAGCCTATTACCAGATACCAGAAACAATTCCAGACTTGCTACTACTGAGATTTTTTTTAAAACCAGTAGTACTTTGCCGACCCGGGAATCGAACCCAAGACCTCTTGCCCGGCGGTCGCACTGGCGATCGCTCGGCCAACGAGGCAGTATTTTATCAT